TCAGTATGAAAAGGTGGTCTGATTTTCCACTGTAATACTATATTTTTTAAAATTTTCAGTGCTTGCAGATATATCAATTACCACTAAATAAAAAAATTAACTTTATAGACCAATTTTAATCCTTTTGTTATTTTTTATTTATTTATATTTTCCCGGCCTAAATGAATGATTTTTTAGGAGCGTTAATTTTTTTTATTTATTTAAAAAATACTAATTGTTTCTCAAAATTATTATTTTATAAATTAAAAACGTTAAAATGCTAAAGGGGGTCGCAAAAAAATTTTCTCCAGCAAAATATAAACTTTTACCAAACTTCTCTTGCAATTTGAAAATTATGGCTTTGCAACCAAAAAATTTATTTTTAGGATAATTTGATATTTTATTCAAAACAAATTATATATAATATTTCTTTTCTCCTATAGAAGATTGATTATGAGGGAAATTGAATAAATTTAAATCATAACATAAGTATAAGCATTTTAGGTCGGGCCCTCTGTAATTGATATTCTGATCTGACGAGTAATGGGTATAAATAATTTTACAAGAGCGGGTGAATTTGAGAATTTTGGGAAAAAATAAATAATATTTTATAAGTTTGAAATATATATAAAATAAAGAACTTATACCCAAACAATTAATTCATGAAATTTGGGCGGCAGATAATTATTTATAAGATTGGCGCGGAAATTTTTTTAAAACCCGTGGGCGGCTAGCAAGTTAAAAGATTTTTAAACAATGGGAGGTGGGCGGGCGAGCAAATTAAAAAATATTTAGAACAATGAGCGTTACAAAAAATTGAATTGTGTTAATAGGAACATTTAATTCAGAATAAAATCGTAGAAAGACAATTATTTGCATCTTCAAAAGCTTCAGCAGATAGTAAATTCATTTTAAACAATTACATGCATTTATCAATGTCAAGGACATAGATAATACTTGTGTTGTTATCTATTCTTATTGGAATGTTATTTTTTATTTACAAACTGATTAAAATAGATATAGTATTAAATTAACAGCATAAGAAAAAAAATATTAAGTAATATTATTTAGGTTTTATAATTTAAATCTATAATATTAAATAATTTACTACATTGAGATTAGAATAATCAAAATATAATATTTTTTCATATAAAATATCTAGTACAATTTAGTATTTTACAAGAAAAATTATTTTGGAAAAATCAAAGTCTTATTCTTTCACTATAATTGTATTAAAAATATTGATCTAACCATTTTTAAATAAAATCAGTGTGTGATTTAAACAGGGATCTTAATCTTGATTTGTATTAACCAACCCTACTAAAAATCAGCTCAATCTCAGTTAAGCGTTGAGGTACGAGTTAATTTATGCTTTTTTCAAAGTTGAGTAATATTTCAAAAAGTACCTAAAGCTGAGGTAAAAGAATTCGATTTAGTCATTTTATAGCCATCTAAAAATCATCAAAAACGGATAACTCTACCCCAACTATAGCTCTGAGTGATAATATTTATTCTTTCTTCTTGTAGATATAATTTCTCTGAAGAGAACGAATAGTTGCAGATTGTTATCCTTTTAGGAAAATACTATCAATAATTATTTATTATATGGCTAATAAATACTCGAGTCCTGCACGGACAGATCCAAAGTTCGGAAAGCGATTTTCCTGCTATCAGTAAGATTCGTATCTTACGTGATAAAAGCGTTTTCGCCCTCTGGTTGTGGATACAACAGAGCTACGCTAGGTTTTCCTCAAAAATCCATCAAACTGGTATAAGGGGAGAAAAATGAAGAGCCCTTCACACGTTTGTGGGCAAGCCGCACGTACTTGTACGTGCAACAGTCCGAGAACTGTTACTTAAACGTCTATAGGCTAATAGACAAAAAGAAATGGGCAAAACAAAAGCCTATACCCAAGAACTGCAAAAATAATTTAATTACTTTAAGGGTGGGTGGTGACTAATTTTAAGTTTAACATCTTTAATGTAAGCCTTGATAATTACTATCAATAATTGAGAATGTGTTCATATCAATTGAATTAGAAATGAAGGTAAAAAGAAAAGGTAATTTTTATTTATCACATTTTTGAATTATAATTTTGAGAGTAAGGAAAGGCTCCATGATATTCTTGCCTGGATGGTAGGCACAGATGTATTTCACGAAAAGATTATGTGATGTGTGTAGAATTTGTGTCTTAAGTAAGACCATAAAGATCTTAAACGCAATAGAGGTGAGAGCTATAGCCCTATAATCTCGAAAGTTGATGGGATTAGGGATCTTTGGAAAATTGCACATCATTGATAGGTTCCAATCTTTAGGAGTTATCCCAGAAGACCATACCTTATTAAAAATAATGGGCAGAAAACGTGGTATCACGTCTGATGCAGCTTTCAGTTGTTCCCCCATTATATTGTCCAGTCCAGGAGCTTTATGATTTTTCAGTTTCTTTATGGCAGCAGATATCTCAGCCAGTGTAAAATGGGACAGATTGAAAGGTAGTATATTGTTCCGGAAAAACTATCGTGGGTTTTCTAGATTCAAAGACATTCATTCTGTCCATAGGGACATTTGATCATCCTGAAAATATATAACTTTGCTGTTCTCTAACCATATCGATGGTAATTCTCAAAAAAAAAAAATTTTGATTTGCAGAAATTATTGAGTATGTTAAATAGTCTTCCTACTCTCATATCTTCATTAACCTCAAAGACATTCCTAGCTACAAAGATTCTTCTATCACTCCTTAAGGACCTCTGGATGGTTTTCCATAGTTCTCTATCAAAGTAATTTGTGCAGCGAAGCTCCTCACTCATCATTGAAGTTGTCATTGATATCCATTCATTCCTAATCGGGGCATTGTTATTTGTTAAGGCCCTGCTCACTTCCTGAATATCTTCTTTAAACATTAACCAGCATTCTTCAACCATTTTAGATAGGGTTATGTCCTCAAATCTAATGACCTTTTCACACAAATTATGGTTAAACCTATCTCTAATTTCTGGTATTTGTAGATTTCTAATATTTTGTCTACTAATTATATTTATTGGGAAGTTAATTTAATAATTTATTTGTAGAAGATCAGACTTCAATTATGTGATCCAGACCGTTTTTAGCAAGCTTTCAGTCTATGTCCTATCTCAAATCAATAATCTCACAGCCAAACGAAATTTTAGCTCATTAGAGTAATATTATTTATAAAAGGAATTTACTTATAAAAATAAACTTTTTTTTACCCTTTTTCACTGTTAAATAATTAGTTATTAATTAAGGACTTAATCAAAATAATGTTAAATTTTATATTTATAGGTAAGTCAATATTGAAAGGTTTTGTCATGCATTATCTAATAATTTCTTCATATTCATAAATTAGCGCGGGTAAATATTTTTCTCAAAAAATATCGCGAGTATATAATTAACATATAGATGGCGCTGAAAATGTTTTAATGCAAAAAAAAAAATTTTTATAGTTTAGAAACATATTAAGGCAATATAATTCATTTAAAAAGTAATGTGCATTTTTAAAAAAAATCCATATAAATATTTATTTTTAAAATATACCTAAAAACTTGTTCCAATCGATAAAAAAAAAGCTGTTTGTAATAAAACGTTTATATATAGCGCCATCTATACCTCTAATATTTTTTGGAAAAAAACACTAATTTTTAAAGAAGTTATCAGAAAATTAGCTGAAGTAGTAATTTTAAACTTTCAACTGGATATGAGATGATCATGCATAATTATCAATTATTGACTTTATAAATATAAAAAAAATATTAAAATTAATTTAGGTTTTAATTAAAAAATAATATTTAATGGCAAAAAAATGTGTAATTTAAATCACATTCTCTAAAAATAATAATTATCAAGCTAAAATTTCGAATATAACTTAAAAGAGGTCATCCAACAATTTACATATTCTTAGGGCATTATTTAAACTCAACAAAAAGATAATTTCAAACTTTTTATTAATTAAATTGTTTATCTATAAAATATATGAAATTAATTTATTTTTATTATAAGTATCTATGAATAATATATAAAAAAATATATAAGAATCATATCTCATTTCTAAAGACATTATTTGAACATATATTTTCTAATAGCAATACAAATTTTAGCCCTGAAATTTACCTTGGATATTCAAATTTCTTTGATTCCCAATATATAAAAACTGATAATTCTTTAGATTAATTAAATATAACTAAATCAAAAATTGGTTATTTAGATATTTTAAAATATATGAAATAGGAATGCTCTAATACTGCATGAGGAAGTTAAAAGATTGTGCATCAATTTAAGTTATAGTGAAAAATTAATATATACTTTTCTTATGGATATTATACAAATATTTTATCATTTAATAATTATAAATAATGTAGATATGGTAAAATATGCAATACACCACAAGGAAAAGAATGTAATAAAAGGTAAAATTATTTTTTTTATTTTGGCTAAAACTGGTTCAACTTAATATAACTTTTTTTATAAAGGTTCTTTTTACCCCTTTAAAAAATAATTATATTGATTCGGTTACAATTAAGATATAAGGTTTATAAAGGTTTAGCAGTTCATTCTGGTTGATTCCAGGTCCCTGAAATAAAGAAAAAAATGTGACAATATTATTTAATAGTTTTTGATTTTACTTTAAAAAAAATTAATCTCATTACTATATATATTGTAATTCATATATAAAAATAAACCAAATCATAATAAAGAAAAAATTTTTTTTAAATTTTATTTTGAAGCATGTAAAAATTATCTAATAAAATTCCTAAAATTTAGTCTACTGTGCATGTGGTGAAAACATATTAGACTATCACCTTACCATGTATGATTTAAAAAAATGTATACATAACTCTTATCAGTTTATGATTTTTAACTAAAGTGATAACTTATATTATTAATTTTTCATAAAACAGGAAATTTATTTTTATCTAAATCTGATAAACCAGAAATTTTATTTTTATCTACTGTATACATTTGTTATGCTTAAGATATCTGGAAAAATTAAAATATTTATTACCATTAATGCACACCAGGGGCCATACAATAATGCTATATTAATCAATTGTTTGAGTATAGTAATGTGAATGCACAATCTGTTCCTATGCTCCTCTTTATCATCGGCAGCAAATTCTTTGCCAAGATTATCCTTCAAGCCATAAAATACTAGTGTTTTGATACTAGAATTCAATAATGAAATAACATATTTATCCAACCATTGATGAAAAGGATGAGCCTTCAATTCAAATATATATATCATTTCTTTTGGTTTAGTGCTATATTTATATATGTCTTCATAATTTAGTGATGTTTCAACACTACTATTCATGACTAGTTCTAAATGTTTTACATTTTCACCAACTTTTGTATAATGGCATTTATTATTAATGACACTGGCAGTTAACCCAAGGATATGGGGCCTATGATTTGATTCACAGAATGTTTCATCCATCACCAATTCCATAATTTTTTTATAAGGATGATTTTTTATAGCATGATGGCATTCATCAAATACAATCAAATTTACTTTTGATAACTTTAAGAAGCCATGGTTTAATATATTTAGAAATATTTGAGCTGTCATGACCAATACCTTAAATTTTAATAATTAATATAAAATATGCTTGATCCAAACTTCATATTTTCTAAATTGTGATTCCCATTGATCTTCTTTCCAAAAATCAACTGACATTGAGCCAGTAAACTGGCCAACTTTAAGATCTGTATGTTCTCTTACATAATTTCCTTGTTGATAAACCAAAGGTACTATTAACAATTTTTTATATAATTGAATGCATAATTATACATACCAGAATTGACAATAAAAAATGTCCTCTTTCCACCTTCTTCCCATTTAATCCTAATATCTTTTGACTTTTCTTTAATCAGGAGTATTGCTATGTAGGTTTTGCCAGTTCCCGTATTTAAAAATGCTATAGTGTTTTTCTTTTTAGACTTGGATAACAATTCCAACTAGAGACAAGTATATTAAATAAACGTAATAAAATTTAATACTTGATATGATCTCGGAGTAAAATCCGTAGTAGAAAGATTTGGCTGGTGTTTTATGTCAGATTTCATTTGCCTGGTATCTATCATATTATTTAAAATTGGTGCGACATTATGCAAAATAATTTTAAAACATTGAAGAATTCAAATTTAAAATCGATTTAGAACACAAAAACAAAATAGAAATATTAATTTATTTTTAATTTCTGATGGTTATGCACTTATTAATAATATTTATAAGTTTATTGGTAACAAAAAAATATTATTCGTTATTTAATGCCTTATATATTAATGATGATATTATTATAAATATATAAAATAAAAATATTTATTTCTAAATGGATATTATCAAAATATAATCCATTTAACTAAACAAAGGGATGGGGTGGTTGAGTTAAGGGCCATTTTACTGTGTTTATCAAAATTAGTGGTGTATGGGGGTGGGGCAAAAAATATAAAATATTTTTGTAGGTATAAGTACTCTAGATGTGTGTATCCAGTTCTCTCTCAAGAAGACTCTATATTATAAAAAAAATCAAAGATATATTCATATCTTTGAAAATTAGATTTCCAGAGAATTTTTATGTAGCTTTGCACAAATTCATATTTTAGATTCGATGTTCTTTATTTATTTTCATCTTCTCCGATTAATTTTTTTCTATGCCCCTCTACCACCCAGCGTCTATAAGCCAGAAAATTAGATGGCGGCGAACCCCCCCCCCTACATAATATACCTCTATCTTCCTGGAAAATTTCGTGGCCATTATTCGCCAAACCACGATGATATAGGGATATTAATAAAAAGAATCTTATAATAAGCTACAATTTCTAATCTTAAAACCAATTTTTATTTACATCCTTTCAGACCTATTTAGGATATAAAAAACCATTATATATATAATTCTTCTGTTTGGGCCATATTGAATAAGAAGAAAATATAAACTGGTAATCTTCAATAACTTTGGATGTTTGCTAATTATTAAATAAAGAATATAATTAAAATTTGCTTGTCTATCAAAATCTTTGTTACGATCTTAGTTATTGTAATATATTTATTGAATAGCTTAAAGGAAACTAGATAAAAGATGCAAGACAGAGATTGTTAAATTATAATAAACGAAAACTCCATTAACGCAATATTCAAATGTAAAATAATTATTTAACAACATAAATCCTATAGCGTTTTTAGTATGCTACCCATTTTCCCACACTGATAAAGCTGCTTTATTATCTGACGTTATCAGTGCGATGGGACAATAACTTGTGCATACCTCCACAAGTCCAACATTCTAATCGGCTTTTCTTTACCCAAAATTGTTCAGTATTTCTTTCATACGGTCTAATTTTTGGCTTTTCTTAAAGTAATTCTCCGTACCTCTGTTGAACTTCCATTCGTGCCGCTTATATCCATCTTCTTGACTCCAAGATCCATCTACTTCCCGGATTTCAACCTTTAGAATCTTATTTCCTATTCTAAAATAAGATGCCATCTATAAAAGAATTACTATATAAATATATTTATATTACTCAATATTCTAGTGAATTTTTATGATCCTTTTATAATCCATTTTATTATATCAAAATTATAATTCGTAATTAGGTTTATTTTCATTTTATTCCTTTATAAATTATGATTCTCATAATTCTGTCTATCATCAATTTCATTCCATCAGAAATTATGATTCGCATAATTGTGTCTATCATCAATTTATTCCATCAGAAATTATGATTCTCATAATTATGTCTATCATCAATTTATTGCTTTATAAATTATGATTCCCATAATTATGTCTATAATCAATTACATTATATCAGATTATTTTCATACTATCATCAATTTATTCCTTCTTATCTAATATCCATCTATTGCCCCATGCTTCTGGTCTTACTTGTTTAATGTGCCTTGTCCAGGTTCCTTTTTATCCTTCAATCTCTACCTCTACTCCATTTCTTCCTAAATTTTTCTTTACTACACCCTTCCCCCAGTTAATTGCACCATCAAACATAAGCATCGACACTAAGCTTCCAATTTATTATTATTTAGACTTTTTATCTGCTCTATTTTTTCTTTCAAAAAATCTAATTCAGTCCTTGTTTTCCTACCTAAAAATATCTCAGTTGATGACTTTCCTTTAGAGTTGTTGTAAATTAATAACAATAACCACCATTTTCCTTCTCCATATTTTTCTTTCTTTAACCAGCTTTTAACAATAGCTAGCATTCTTTCAGCTTGCCCATTACCCATTACTTCTCGGGTAATGTGGTGGCGACAATAAATGTTTAATATTCCACCTATCACAAAATTTGTCAAAAACTCTACCTTTAAACGCTGAGCCTCCATCCGATACCAAAGTTTCCATTAATCCATATTTACCTACAAAATCTTTTATTTTCGTCAAAGCTACCTTTGTTGTTAAACCTGAAACCTGTTGACAATCTATCCATTTAGAACCAGCATCTACCATGATAAAATATTTTCTTTTTTCATATTCTAAAAAATCTATATGTGTTACCTGGAATGTTCGTTCCTGGCCATTTATCTTCTTTATTTTTTGCTGGTACATTAGCCCACATGTTACAAGTATCACAGCTCTTAGCCTCTTCTTCTATTTCACTATTCATTTTAGGCCACCAAATATATTCTCGTGCATTATTTTTCATTCTCTCTATACCTTGGTGTACGGCATGTACTGCTGCTAAAACTTCTTTTCTTAATACCAAGGAATAACTTAACGATATACTCTCATTAGACAATTGTCTAAATTCATTCTTAACCTTTTTAAAAGATTTGTCTTCACTTTCCAATGCTTTAATTCTCATTAATTCTTCATCTTGTTTAGATATGTTATCTACTAGTTCTAAAGTTATCGGTTTCTCTCTAGTATCAACTTTCAAAGATCTTATAATAATATTATTTACTTCCTCTTCCGCGAATCTTTCTAAACTATTAATTCTGGATTCTCTTTCTTCCTCTTCTGTTTCTTTTATGAACAATCTTGATAAAATATCTGGTAAACAATTTAATTTACCTTCTCTGTATCTTATTTCAAAAGCGAAATTACCTACCAATAACAACCATCGTTGTAGCCTGTGTGACATCATTAATTCTTTATTTTCTTTCTTAAATAACTAAACTAACGGTTTATGATCCTTATATAATACAAACTTTCTTCCAATCAGATATTCTTTGCATTTGTATAACTCGAACTTAACTTCACCTTCTCAATAGTTGAATATTTTTTTAGTGCAACTAAACCGTCTCGATAAGAATAAAATAGGTTTCTCAACATTATCTGTTATTTATAATAAAGCTCCTCCTATACCTTTATTAGATGCATCTACTGCTAATATAATATCTAAATTCTCATTAAAACAATTCAAAATCGGCTTCTCTACCATCTTTATTTTCAATTTTTCGAAACTTTCTTTCAGTGCTTCTCCCCATTTAAACCTTTTATTTTTCTTTAATAAATCATACAACGGTGTGGCGATTTTTGCAAAATTTTGTATAACCCGATTATAATAATACGTAGCTCCTAAAAGCGCCTGTACTTCAGTTTTATTATTTGGTGCTCTCATGTTCATTATCCTATCTATATTCTTTGCAATCGGAGTAGTTTCATTTCCTTTTATAATATGTCCTCAATACTTTATTTCTCTTGCTCCAAAAACTCTCTTATTCATATTGGCTCTTAAACCATTTTCTAATATTATTTCTAAAACTTTAACTTATCTAGTATTGTGTTCTTTTTCTTTTCTACCAGATAATAATACATTATTCTTTTTAATTCCTGAAATAACGCCGCCATAGTTCTTTGAAATATTGAAGCCGATACCTTCAACCCAAATGTTAAACGACAAAAAGCAAATAATCCTCTATGTGTTGTAATTTTTAACATTCTACTTGTGTTCTCATTAACCTTAATCTGTAAATATGCGTTAGAGAAATCTATTTTAGAAAAAAAATCGCTCCTTTTAAATTTGCCAAAAGTTGTTCTATTCTTGGTAAAGGATATCTTACTGCAATAAAATAACCCAAGGATTTAGCGAAATTCTATAATCTATGCATAACCTTAAGCTATTATCTGGTTTTTTTATGGGGACTAAGGTGTCACCCAATCGCTATATTGGTCGTATTATACCTTCTTTTAACCATTTATTTAATTCATTATCAATCTCTTCTATCCAAGAAAACGGTAATATTCTTACTCCACAAAATTAGCCTGGTAATTTTCTAATAACTTTATCTCTATTTCAACATCTTTTAGAGTACCTAACTCTTCTTTAAAAACATCTTTGTATCTAATCAATATATCTTTTTTCCTTGCTGAACGTCCTCAACAACATTAGATTCTATTTTATTCTTAATATCTTGTTGCTTAGTTCCAACTGACGTTACCTCTAATGATTTTATATCTCTTAATAACTTATTCTTTTCTATATCATTTCTATATCTGATCAAAAATTCTGGAGTTCGATTTTTAAGTTCATCGAGAACTAACTCAGATAACTCAGTATTATTCTTATTGCATTGGTTTATTTCTCCAATTAATTGTTGTTCTCATGGACAGTTTCAAATAAGGACCACCAATTATAATCAGGACCTACATTCTTAATGCATTCGCTAAAATAGGTTATATTTTTAGTGTAGTAATCCATAACTTTATTTCCTTATTTATATTTAACAATTTTGTCACATAAAAACTGAAGAAGAGTCCACCCAGAGCAGGGACACCATGAATAAGAGTCCACCCAGAGCCGGGGAACCATGAAAAATAGCGCTTGGAACACTAGATTTTAAAATAAAAAATGTTCACTTTATTACTTTTTAATCTTGTATTTATATATTATTTACAAACTAAAATTAGAATATAAAATCAAAAGGTTAAGTTATAAAACGAAAAGCAAAACTAAAAATAAAAGTATAATTTGAATAAGTTAAATATATCAAAATTAATTAAATGAATGCGCGTTACATAAATTTTATACATATTACTATTTAATAACCAAAATATATAATATTTTAATCTATTAATTCCTATAATATAACATTCTCCCTCTTCTAAAAAGCCTTCCCATAATTTCATCTAAACTGTCATGGAGAGCTTGTGTCCAAATGGTT